CATCATCATCATCATCATCATCATCATCATCATCATCATCATCATCATCATCATCATCAATGATACAAGTCAATAGTTGCACATATCATATAGTCTATAGTCTATATAGTATACTTTTTCTGCATGCCTCGCGTGTGCTTTTGTGTTCGTTGTGTTCTTACCACTGTCAGGCCACAGCCTCGGGCTTCTTTCGCATGCTCAACAACCTGGCAGGGCCCTGAGAGTCGCAGGCTTTCTGCACGCAGTCGTTGTTCAGGTGGTCACAGCCGGTGACCTTTGACAGTAGATCACCCCTCGCTCCAGGTGCCTGCACGCTCATGCTGCAAGACCCTGGTGGTTTGTGACCAAAGCTCTGCAGAGATCATGGAGGAGACCGGGAACGTCTCAGCCGGTGAGTCGGCACCTTCTATCATTCGGGTTCTTGGATCCCCCAAGGGATCCGCCAGTTTTCTTGTTTACTATTTCTTTTTCATTGAGAACCTCAGAAATGGAGATAAGAAAATGTACACTGTTCTTTATATGTTGCTTTAGACGGACGTGGTGTTTTTGGACTCGTAGACGTGCGAGATCCAAGGGCAAGTCCCCATGCCGGTGGAAGGCACTGACCCGCTTGGCACTGACCGCCCACCCAAATCCACCGAATCCAAATGCTCGGGTGGCAGCGGATCGATAGGGTACCTTATTCGGTGGTGTGATTTGACTCGGTGTGATTTCCCCGCGGAACAACATGACGTCGTGCAAACATTTGCAGCTCACCACAGATGACCTCAAGATTGATGACATCATTGCTTATTGTTTGCCTCTCAACATCAGGGTTTGCTTTGATGCAGAATGGCCCTGTGTGGTTGAAGGAACATGACCGCTCGACGGGAATGATAGAATAAACTATAGAAGGTCAACATAAACACATAAACCCACCATATGTCTTCATGCACGAGCGCCTTGTATGGAGATCAACATAAAGCCAAGCGAGGCAATTTTGTTTGTGTCACCCACGAGTCTTTTCTCTTTTCTACCCCAGGTGATGAAAGCGATTCTCCATCTTCAGATCACGAATCGTGCTGCGAGTGAATGCGAGTGACCCCGATTTGGCCCGTGGACACACGCCCCGTGCCATGCGGAGGAGCCCCGTTTCAAGGGCGATGCCTCGATCTCCACCTCCACGGCCCCGTCTTGGAGCGGGCATCACAGAATGAATTTGCTCCAATTCCAGTGGAATAGTTTTATTTGTATGATGTAGATCAGATGATATGTCATGACTCTTGATTATATTTCAACCACTCATATGAAGATGTTTTACAATCCATGTTTGGGGCCTTGTGAATCAAGAGTCTACCTTAAAGATTTTGTCGAGCAGATGCTTTGTAGGTTTAGACTGGCAAGTCTCGACCTGTGCAGGCTGGATGAGAACGTCCCACCAGGGCTTGCAGCCGTGCCTTTGGCCAGTCGATCATGATCCGAATCGGACGGATGGTGTTTGGCCTGGCGAACCATGGCGAACCCAAAGGAGTGAATCAGAGGGGACCTACAGGGCAAAATGAATGATCAGTTGATCAGTTTCAGTTTCCGTTGTCATTCTTTTCAAGAGCACAGGTGGGAGTAGAAATGTGAACAGTTTCGGCACAAGGACAGCCAACCTTTTTTGGTGTGTCAACATGTGTCAACACACCTCTGCAATCCAGGGCGGTTCATCGCCGTGAGCTGCTCAGGTACTTCCAATGGACTGGCAAGCCCGGACATTTTGTCAGCTGCCGCAAAACATACAGGCAGGATCGTGTGAGATGGGAATGATGGGATGGCCCTAGCCTGATTCCATGCGAGGCCGAAAGGGAAAAGAGGGACGTGCGAGCCCACATATGTCAAAGCCCTTGCAGATGATGCCCCCTTAAGTATAGTTTATTGTAGAGTTATGTCAGAATATGTCATATACATTGGTTGTTGCATGTTGTTGCTGCATGTTTGTGCAATCGATGATCAAGCAATCCTTGGAGCATCTTGGAGCACTGCGTCAACATCCTACCTGCTGTTCTCCTAGGGAAGTTTGACAGTGCAACCCCAGATGTTTTTTTTGGGCTGGAGAGTTTCAATAGGCGGGGCCACAGGCGGACGCTTCAGCCCTTGGCGGAGTGAACTGGACCCACATGAGACACACTAGACAAAGCAGCGTTTGGAATCGAAGATACTGGTTGGCAAAAGAAGAACACTGTAGTTGTAGAGGCTAACATACCTCCAGTACCGCCTGGACTTTCCCAATGAGACCATGGCAAACAAGTGCTCGGATGCTCCATGTAAGGTGGAGTAGTTATTGGCTCCAGTCGTGAACATCTCCTTCAGTACCAGCTATGCCATCCCAGGAAGGCCTCGTGCGCTCGCCAGGTGATCTGGCTCGAGCGGCCAGATGCTGAAGTGGTGCGACAGCGGCCTGCGCCGTTGGTGTGACTCGGCACCGAGGTTCTGAACCATCACAGATGTTGGAGACATGTGACTGTCGCTTTGGTTTTCGACTGTCCCTTTGGGCTTCCCACGAACAAACAGGTCGGCCACGTTCTGTTGAGGAGTCTTCGACCCTGCAGCTGAATGCAACTGAAATATTGGAGGGTTATATACCGCAGAGAACAATATGGATGCAAGTTGGTTTACTTTTCAAGCTAGTTCCGCGCAGATCGCCGTCCGCAGGAAGGATCTTGGAGGGTTGCTCGTTGTATGGCCTTTGTATGCCTTTGTAATTTTATCCTTAAGATGGCCAATCCGACAAGGCTTCGACGGAAAAGTCCAGTGGCCACTGAAAAAGCGTCCACTAGCCATCGCGATGGCAACAGGAAGAGACTTGCAGACACCAACAAGAGAACTAACTCAAAAGCCGCAGCACCAGGATCCGCATTTCAACGTCCCTTGACGCATGTATACATGGTGGGCGAAGAACATGTACAAATATACCACAGAAATTGCCTTGATGTCATGAAAAATCTCAGTGCTTCTATTAGGTGGATAATTTGAAGGCTTCCAAAGTCTGAGGTACCTTTGTTCAGATCCTACCAAACATCATTGCCAACACCCCAACACAGTCCCAGCAACACCCCAACAGTCAGCTGCCGAGCGGAGCATGTCCACCGGTCTCCGACCCCCGCTCCCAGGAATCGCCCGCCCATGCCGCCCATGGGTCCGGGGAGCTGGGTCCGGGGATCACCGGAACGGATGGGCCAAGCGTGGCAAACGAAACAAAGTGTATGGGTTTTAGATGGTTTTAGTGGTGGTGAGCCGCTACCACCAGTGTTTGGTGGTGAATTCGTGAGATAGAGATAGGCTGGATATGGATCGAGGATGGATATATTGCAATCAAACACAATCAATATTGTGAGGGTACTCACAGACAAAGCCATGAATGTAGAGGGAGTTGTTGCAATTGTTTCCTGAGTGATGAAGTGGACGGCTTAACTAATTCCTATAGCAAGCTCTAAAGTCAGAGTCATGTAAGTAAGATCAAAGCCCTCACAATAATATTCTTCAAACTTCCAGCCTCCACAAGCCTTGAATAGACACTGGATACCATCAATCAAAATGAGCATGCGCACAGATGATGTGTGTTTCCTCTTTTAAAACATTTCTTTCGGCTTCCAGGTGCCTCAGACATCCTCAGACCCTCACCACAAGACAAGTCATTCAGGTTTTTTTTCAAGTTCTTAGCTCCTACTAAATGAATCAAGTTCTTGGCCCAGAACTCAGGAACTCCAACATCCAACATTCACTACTACAAAAACAAAGGATCTTGTTGAATGTTGGAGTTCCAGGCCCCAGGGCGCCGCCTAAGCGTTCACCAGGTGCTACATCTTCACGATGTGGATGTGGAGGGCACCTTCAAAGGCTGGCCGTTTGATAGGCAGCTGAGCCGTCGAGCCGCTGATTCAGACCTTCACAGTTTGCGTTCTTAGGTGTTTTGCTTCTTGAACTGCCTCCAATCCTTTGCAACACATGTGGTCACATGTGGTTATCTCAGCTATCTCCTTTCAAGATCCCTCTTTTTGTCGATTGGAGCGACTTGCTTGTCACCTTTTTTTGATCGCAGATAAACCTCAGTGACATCCGTGTCGAAGATGTGTGAAGTGACCGTCGACACGGCTCTTTTGACATCGTCGGCCAGCCCTTTGTTGGGACAACGCGTGGAGAACAAGGAATGGTTTGTGAAGAATGCCCAGCTGAAAGAGGCAGGGGGCGGCAGCGGGGTCAAGAGGCAACGGGAATTTGACTGGCTTGATTGGATTGCTTGAGAATGTTTGGAGATAGTTGTTATTTCTTTTCAGGTTCTCGTATGAATTTGTATGAGCATGTCAGTAGTCAGTATTGAATAGTATTCATAGATATTGCTAGTGTTGTTTGGTTTCTTTGCCGTGGCTGCTGACCTGAACAGAGGATGTTTGAGGTCTTGGAATGCTGCGACTGTCCATGGCCTCACGTCAAGCTTCACCGTGCCTCGCCGCTCCGTGTTCTCTGACAAGCGCCGATTTGTTACCTATGCCAAAGGGCGTTGGGTGCTTCGGCAAAGCGCAAGAAACCACGGATCAGGGGGAAGGACCATGCTTTGCAAGTGGTTTAAATGGAGCCTGTCCCAGGTGTGTGTGATTTAAACATTGGGATCAGAGGTGCAGGTTGCCAGGCTTAGAAGGGAAGACCTTCTCAGTCAGTGAGAAACTAATAGACATTTCCTCACGTATTTTTTTGTAGGTAGTAGGCTCTCTTTATATATACACACGCGTTATAGCTTAATTGATCTATCTTTAAATATATATATATAATTATATATATATATCAGTACGACTACTTTCAGCAGGAAAAAACACATCTAATCAAACCTATCTCAAGATACAACATCCTTACAAAGCTTAAGAATACCTGGATCTCGACATGAACAGGGGAGCAGGACATAGCCATCAGTCCTGACTCGCACGTCTAAAATAAGGGAGTTTCCTTTCAAGCAACTCCTCTCATTTTGTCACTTGCTCCCAATCACACTCGTGTGACTAGCTTAGTAGTTAGCATGGGCCTTTGCTGTTCGAATCCGGCCTTGAGCGAATCCCTCGAGACCAAATTGAGTCCTGCGGACGTACGGCATCTCGGCTTCAGTAGCGGCTTCATTCAGCGGTGGAAGCGTCCTATCCCAATATCCAAGGGACGCAGATATTAGAGTGCCACCCCAATGTGCCCTCTTGTCAAGGACAAAGAAAAAAACCATGCCGCAATGCCACCTCGGATTCTTCCTATTTTGTTGAGCCACGCCTTTCCGTCAGTTCACTCAGCTCAGCTAAGGCGGATTCACATGAAGACACCCAAATGGCTCCCATATTCTGCCCCAGCAGATGGAGCAGCCAAAGATGTTTGGGATGCTTTGACTTTGATGGATGCGTCGATGGATGGTTCCTGGTTGTCCGGATTGTATTTTGTGGTTTCCTATGTTTTCTACTCTTTTAGCTACCAGAAAGGGCATGATACAATTCACCTTGGTGGGAAACAAGGAAGGTGTATGATGAATGTATGAACGTCATAATATATGAATGCAATTCCTTGCCATTTTTGACTTAGGTTCTGGAAAGATCATTCTGCTCTATTCTGGCTACGTGATCAGCCCAGGGGAACGAGACCGTGAGTTTCAAGCGGGCTGGAATCGTGAGCATGTATGGCCAAGGAGCAAAGGACCGAAGAGGGGGCGAGAGAAGCATGTATTTTTCAGAATGAATCCCAGGTCTTTGTGACATGTTTACCGCTTTGCAACTTCATGGGACGCTTTATCTCGACGCACATTCTTTAGTGCGCTCACTACATAAGGCCTGCCTGCCTAATCTCCTCGCATATTTGTCGTCAAGATGTTTCTATTTGTACTGACTGTGGTTTCTTCAGTCGTTCAACATGGTTCAACGATGTAATGTGAAACACATGGTTGATGCCTTTAAACATCCTTTAACTTTATCCATATCCTCAGTCTCACAGGCTTTCTCTGCCCATTTGCCCTTAAGTTTATATTGACTACCTGATGGTTTTCAGCTGTTCACCTCACTCACTCCTCCGGACAGCTGCCAAATTTCGTGGCTTTCACAGGAGGCTTATCTACACGTAGCCCTGGTCCCGGCACGGATCTGCACAACCTCCACGCAGCGGATATCTCCGTGAATTCGGCGCGTGGGAACAAAGACTTCGATGACTTGGTGGAGACGGATGATGGGGTCCAAGTGGTGACTGGGAGCGAAGACATCAACAGGGAGCGGAAGCGGCCGACACGTCCGTGTGACGGGTGTTGGATAAAAGCAACATCGCTGGGATGAAGAGGTGTTCTCATGTTTAAAACTGGCAAAGCCAGGGCTTGACCTTTAGGCTCTATCAATCTATTATATATATATATGAATGTTTATGTTACAGTATGAAATTATATACCGGCTCAGATTGTTCCTTCTTCGTGTGTTTTGTTTGCGTCGAGTGGTTCTGCCTTTTTTCTTCAGGCTGTTCCAGTGTGACAGACACAAGTTGGCGTTCGGGTGGGTTGAACGTTATTGTAACAGGCGGTTGCAGGCGGTTTCGTTCCAAAACCAGAATCACATCCCGGAACCGTCGTCCTTTCGATCGGACTGCAGGTCGTGGACTCTTCTCCTCCACCGGGCTACGACTCCATGAAACGGCTGTGTTTGGTTTCGGAGGATGCTTGGGCACCGGGCGATGCTGCCAAGGGCACCGCCGCTCGGAGAACAGAAGGAAATGGTCCAAAGGACAACGGATAAAGATGGATACAGTATATATATATATACCTAGACCTTCAAAAGGACACTAATAAGTGCTCGAGACAAAAAGCGCTCGTTAGATCAAAATGTGCTCGACCTTTGTTTCCGAGCATTTGCATGATACCACAAACTCCCTGGCATGAATGAAACCTCCTGGCACACCACAACATACACTACATCGCGGCTTTCTTCTTCAACTCTTCAACATGCTGCCATCGGAAGCAGCCAGGGCCTCAGTCGTTGCTGCTTTCAACAGCTTTGCGCCACTCAGCTCGATATTGTATCAAGCTCTTTCTGGTCAAATTGAGCACTTGGACTATGCTGGTCGCGTGCACTTTTCGTGACAAGCGCGACTGCCTTCCGATAAAGTCCTCGTCGCTCCAGCACGCTGCACCTTAGAGCACTACAAGGAGGTTCACTAGTCAATGAAACAGCTCCCAAGTTTCCGACATGCTGGATTTTGCACCCAGTTAGCAGCAGGCATTTGGAGAACATATTCCATATTGAGCCTTGGGGGCCACTCTTCAACACAGAGGAAGCAGCAAGGGATACCCACTGGGAGAAAAGTGACAGTGGAAAAGAGCCAAGCAGCAACACATGGCAGAACATGTGGATTTTGGGCCTCACATAGTACAATGCCCAGCCATTATTGGCACTCAGAACGCTGCAGCACCCATATGCTTCCTCATAGATGGCAAGCACTTCACAAAAGCAGGTCCCCATGCCATTGGTACACACCAAAAGTCATGAACTAAAAACAACCCTCAGCAACAAAAATGTATGTCGACCGCAGTAAATGGTTCTGAAAAAGCTATTGGCAGAGTTGCAACCCCACTTGGCCACTTTGAACAGGTCCCGACAGAGTTCCTCATGCGCACGCATACGAACACATGCACATGATTTGGGTGGAGCAACGTTTAGACATGCGTGGCTTGTCATATGATGTTGCGCTTCACACTGGTCACCTGTTTTTTGGGCAAGTGACTGGCACCGTGTTTTCACCCATGTCTTGCATGACTGATTGAAGCCACGACGATACCAAGGCCGCATCAGATCCTTTACCAAGGCCTCGAGGAAATTGCTGCAGCCTCAGACGAGTCAATGTCGAGGTCAAGTTTTGGGCTTGCTTAGATGGGGCCACTTGGAGAACCCCAAGTTGAGAGACAACAAATTTACAGTCATTGATTCAAGGAACGACTGTATCTTTAGTTCTTCTTTGTCAAAGCTCTTGATTGCGCTGTTTTTTTTCTTGTGGCGCACCAGCTCCTAAAGGATTCATAAGCAGCAGCAAGTTGATCTGGGATGTTGTTGCCTCCGAAAGCCTTGCAACGACAACTGAGTAGCACCAATGAGGATGCTAACTCGTCCTTCCCAAAGCCAGCTACTGCGTATGTGTGCGCCAGGTCAACCAAAATGAGCTTGGGGTTGTCACCGCACGGAAGCAGGTTCCTCAAAGCTGCTTTTGGCCCTCTGTGAAAAGGGTCTGGACAGAGCCTTGCACCGCTGGATGGACAAAGGTTAATTGGTGGCGTGACCACAAAAAGGAAGGGGCCCAAACTTGACCAAAAAAAAACTTGGCGTTGCCAATATGCATGGCACTCCTCCTCCAAATCTGCGTCACTCCCCACAACAGGCTTGAGATCCTGCATGAGCGTTTCTTGCTCCAATGCTTCCAAGTGCTCCTGCTCTTGGGTGAGCTCCTCCAGCAAAGCTAGCTGGTGTTCCAATGCCTGGAGACCACGCCTCTCCTCGAGCAAAGCTTTCAAGTGTGCCTCCTCTCCCGCTTTGGCTGCTGCAAATCCACCCTGTGACTCCTGGTCCACTTCCATGGATTCCATGGTGTCAGGTGGATACATTGGCTCTCCGGTTGGATTGGTGCACTCCTTGGATCTTATGTCAGCTATCCAACCCTTCAAGCCACAGCGCAAGCACTCGAACCCGTGTTCCTTGTTCTTTACGGTGTAGTGTCCGCTGGAGGATGGTGTGGAACAGGTCGAGGATGGTGTGGAATCCTCCTGACACGGCCACGTAATAGCTTATGTCCAAATTCGGGGCTACATGTGACCACTGCTGTTTTTGTACACACGCGCGACCTGATGCTACAGACACGCGTATTCAAATAACTTCGAACATACTCGACAAGGTTAACATCACGGCCCAACCACCCATAGCCTGCAGGCTGTAGAGCAATTGAAGCTGAAGGAGAAGGTGCGCACGATGGGTCCCGCGACGACGCTGCATCTTCCGAGATCATGCCTAGACAGAGACATGAGAAGATGGACCCCTGACCATGAAGAGTAACCGATTCAGACATATCTGGACCCGAGTCTGGACCAGTAACATTTCAGCTCCCAGGAACCTATTCCCAGTCCATCAGATATACATATGTATGTGATCTTTCAATATGTGCGTATTGGATATGTGATTTGTACATCGTAGCAGAGCGCGTTAAGCTGCAAGTCACAAACTCGGGTACATGTGCTCCTGGCCTCCAGGATTCAACGCATCTGAAGCTGCAGTGGAAGGCGCGCGCGAGGGCTCCCGTGACGGCGGTGGATCTTTGGGCGCTGCGCCTGCGCACCCCCAATGTTCCAATGAAAAGGGTCAGGCGAATCAGTCGCCAAGAAAGAACCCAAAGGATAGAGGTGGTTTCAAACTCCTTGCCTTCATCCAGATCATGGTCGATTGCTTGTGACTCCTAGCTCCAGAAGAGGGTCTTATGAATCCCTATGAGACATTGAGCATGTTGCACCATCAAATTGTCTGTTTTTTTAAACAGCCTAAGAAAGCCAGTCCTCAACTTCGATGACTGGGTCACTTTCCTCGGGCTCAGTCGGGGAGCTCATCATCACCTTCATGCTCATCCGGCTCATCCATCTGTGTGTCATTTGCTGGCTCTGGATGGTTTTCACCATCAGTAACGGACTCACCTGACCAGGACGGGCCAAGGAAAACCAGGAGATAAACCCTTTAAGCTCACAAGACGCCGTTTCTGAAGGTTTTACACTCCGGGTCTGATAGGGCTGGTTTAACCAAGAAACGTGAACCAGGGGCCGATGGTGGAGGAACAGGAATTGATGCTCGTTCCATCAACTTCCTGATGTTGGCCTCTCTGGGCCGGTGCCCTCGTTTGGCCATGCGAGCAAAGGCATAACCATGCTTCGCAAGATCCATGCTTCCAGTCGTACTATCTTGCCTTGGTCACGTACTAGTCAAAAGATCCACTGTAGTGGCACGGAACTTGCTGACCATGGGATTGTTTTTGATGGGCAAGTGCTACATTAAAATTTCAAGGTTTTCTGGGGTTCTAGCGGGAAGGCAAAGGCTTGCCACGAGGTCGGCACTGGTGAAGAAACATCTCAGTCGCTTCCATCAGGGTAGATAGTGATGGTCTCAGACCTTAGTGACTTAGTGGTTGTGGCCCACATCTCTGAAAGTCAAACTTGTTGAATCATTTCTTTTCAATTTTGGCCCAGGAACCTATGTGCTCAACGACTGGGGATAGCAGCTCGTAGTCTTCGGCAACCTCCCGCCGATCCACCAATTCTTTCTTCCCAATCTGGGCCAAACACATCCTAGATGCTCTATGACAAAGATCCTCATTCTGTTTCCATTGGTCAAAAACAGCAGTGGCTTCACTGCTGTATACCATGTTCACCGCAGGACGTCACTGCTTTTGGGCCACAATTGCTCTATAGTTCAAACGCGTTCTCACATCACAAGTGGTTTGTGTCCAGTCTTCCACCCCTCGCCAGCCTTTGCCCTCAGCTCCTGCCTTTGGCAGGCCAAAGGTGCAGAGTGCACAACACACAAGGGCCAAAAGCTGCGATGGGGGTTGGATGGGGTTGGGTTTGAGAAAAGCGCTCGAACATCAATTTAGCGCTCGAAGGCTCAAAAGGTGCAACGAAAAGGCCAATAATGTATACTTATTTCTGCTCGTCCGAAGATGTAGGTATATACAACATTTACGTATAACTACAACAGTCTCTTGAGTCTATTGTTGTGTTTTTGTGTTTTTAGGAGGATTAGTGATTCTTGATCTGACAATTGTTGTTGTTGGATTGTTTGCTTGCTGTGCATGTTGTGTTGTTTCTTTCATCATTTCCTGGATGAAGCCATCCCCCTCTGACACTTTGTCGATGATTTTCATAGGCTATATTTCGACTTGTTTTCTGCCGCAGCGTCAGATCTTGGGACGCAAGGTGGCTCGTGCTTTGATGTACATGGCCTGCATGTATGCTGACCATGGCCTACGTTTAGTCGAGGGCCATACAGCTGAGGGTCACTTGCAACTGGGGAACCTCTCTGCCATCCGGCGCTGGGCCGGTGCATTTCCACCCAGTCAGCGGGAGAAACGCCGCAATGACTTGGCGGAATCCTTGCAGGAGAACCGGAATCCCTTTATCGACGATCCTGACCTTTGCTCCGCTGTCGCGTGGTGAATGTGCTGACCGAGAAGCCACGTGACATGAGGGATGATGAAAATCTTTGTGATCAGGGTGACAGGGGGACTGAAATGGGACCTCTCCATGGAGACATTGCGAGTTCGCAGTCGAAACAAGAAGGGTGCGGAGCGGTATCCGGGATGCGTCGACCGCCTGAACAATCGCAGCCTGACAACTTAAGGAAACATTAATAAACATGGAGTTTTTAATCAACAGAAGAAACCGTTTGGGTCCATTTTGGTAATGTTTCTGGTGGGAGGAACTTGGTTGTTGCAGCCATGGCCTTTTGACTGCCATTGATACATGTGGACTCCGGACACATGTGTCGGCGCCTACGCGTATACCGGCCGCAATCGTTCAAAACCTCGTGCAGAGCTGTCGATGTCGACATCCGTTGACTCGTTTGCCTTTAGTATTGCTGTGTAGTATCTTGGAGTGTGTATAGGGAGAGCCCCACTCCAAGACCCTGCTGAAGGACGGACCACAACCCCCTTGGTGGAAGGTTTCTTGGGTCCACGTGGTGCGTCGGCCCATCACCTGGAAGGCCTTGATGACTCACAACAGCTTGAAACAGATGGAGGCCAATAGCGCAGCGACCTGAGATTTTGAAGTGGAATCTGTTGGATTTGGGTGCCGAACTGATTTCACATGGCCGAAAGATAGTTCAGACATGTTCATAATGATTGACTCCAACTTGGTGCTTGCGGTATGTTTGTTGTCACCAAAACATGGGACATGCCAGCGAAGGGAGACCGTTACATAGCTTTCGGACCCCACCCAAAACTTCTGAAAAGAGAGATGAGTCTACTCGGCCAGTGGGTACGAGCAGGCTACCTTCAGCTACAGTATGTGTAATTTCTTCATGGGCGCATGGAGTGATTGTGATCATTGTGCAGTCTGTCAATTTTTTTCATATTTGTGTTCCTTGAACCCTTGCGCAAAAAATGCACCCCCAGAGATTGGCGTTGCTGACTCTTTCACTCTGCCAGGACATGCCAGGGCCAGGACCAATTCTTTTTGAGTGTTTTTTGGATGATGGAGAACCCTAGGTTTTCTTGGGGTATTGGTTTTTAAGGTGAGGTCCACAACTTGGGGTATGTATCATATGACGGTGGTTCAAAACCTTACCGGCCAAACCATGGAAGGTTGACATCCCAAACATCTGCTCAGATTTCAACCAGGGATATATTGAGTATGTTTTTGTAGATACTATATAGATCAAGGCACCCCCTTTCAAGCCCCAGGTGCTAAGAGAGGCTCGAGCATGGGCAGACAGCTTGGAGCTGAGGATCGCATTGGTGGATGTTTTCGGGCTGCTGACCGGTGATGTTTGGTTTGAAGGAGGCTCTTGTGTTTGAAGCGTGAATCATGAAACATGGATTTCATGTGTTGTGGAAAGATAGAAACTGCCAGACCTAAAAAAGGAACATCAACAGCATCGCAGAAAATATGATACCTTGGGCCTTGCAATCCCATGGAATCACCGTTTTCTCCTCCCACAGGCGATGGAGAACACGCCAAGAACCGGGGATTCAAGGCTGAGAACACCGCTGAGGTGTGTCATTGAGCAAGACGGCGACATCCACTACCAGCTTACTCCGGAAGGACTGTGACCTTTTCTACCATTCTGAGCAGTTTCTAATTCGGCGAATCGGAATCGAAGCCGGAGGGCCTTTGAGAGATGAACGCCCGGCCATCCCCTCAACGGGAGGCTCCACTTCGCGAAGCCCTCACCGGAAATTCGCCTAGATGGCCAAGGATGGGGGCCCTGCAATTGACCGACGCGTCAACTAAAGAATCATTGATGAAACAACATGTGTCTTGGCGTTGAACAGCTGCAGCATGCTGAAGCCAATACTTGGGCCGTCCTTTCACCAATCCCAGGAGCCGACGGCTGGCCAGCCGACAGGTGGGAAACCCAGAAGAGTCGACGATCGGTGTGGGAGGCCTACAGATGTTTGTCCCACCGCCATTTCTGTACATATCGAGATTTGTTGACATGTTTTGACCTTGGCTTTGACTGTAGCAGTGAATCCACTGGGACCGGTGGCCCATCACCATGCCCCAGTGATCACGCGCAGGTGCCGTGAGCCCAGTGGGCAAGTGGTGAACCCAGTGACCGCAGTGACGACTCCCCGCTTCGGAGAAGGTGATTGGAGACACGAAAAACATAGGCATGGAGGGTCCAGTCGTACCGAGCCTGAGAAGGTGGCGGTGGATCCCTAGGGATGAGAGTGTTACTTTGAACGCCAAAGAGCAACTCGTGAAGCGGTGCGCCATGCTGGGATCATGACGGTCAGAGTGGCCCCCCAGCAGGGAACAAGTACGGTATACCCCTTAGAACTTTTGGCTTTAGATCCTATACAGACTACAGACGATGTTGGTTGAAATTCTCAACCTATTATATATAGATAATATAAAGCACACTCAGACTCGTACACCACCACTTGAAAGTTGAATCGAACCCACACACAGATCTAAACATGGTTCAGAGCAGAGGTCACAATCCCCAAGTTCAGGTGATTTAGAAGGACCCCGACACAAAAGACATCTTTGGGTGCCAGCCATCTACTCTGAAACCACTGTAAGTAGACCAGTTTCTCACCAAGGCTTGGAAAGGTCATCGAGCCGCTCAGCGCACGGAACAGCAGGTGTTCGGGCGAGTGTTCGGACAAGTGTTCGAGTGATCAGCAAGTGAAGTGGAGTGTTCGGGCCGAGGGCACGGCAGGAGGCGACATCAGTGTGAACATGTGAGGTGAATCCTAAAGCTCGTAATTTCAAAGTGAGGGTAGATGACAGTGGTAGAACTGAAGGGGAAGTAAGCAGAAAGGGCTAATATCAAGAAGCAATGGAAAGTAGAGGAGCATGAACGAATTGCAAGTTGGAATGTTTATGAGATCAAATTGGAGTTGAGGTAAGATCCGGCACAGGATGGGCAAGACAGTTAGGAATTCATTTCCCCCCAACCCGACCGTTGATTGCTTGAAACACCCTACAGCCACAGATACAACTCAAAGATGGACCCCAAAATAGATCGAAAAGGGAGTCTCTTGCATATCACGTACTGTACTCTTTCCCGTTTGCTTCCGTTGTCACCATTTGCTTTTCCACTCTCCAGTTTTGCGGTGGTTGTTCCTCGCGGCAGGGAACTGCGTGAGACCTCACGGATCACCAGCCGGCGGTCCCGGGTGGGAGAAAGGGGTGCAAGAACTGGGGAACAAAAGCTCTTTGGCAAGTTGTCGCACGAACTTTCTGGGGAACGCTTTCTGGGAACACTTTGCCAGGTTCGGTACTATAAGGATCCACATACCAAGTAACACTCTCATCCCTCAAAATGCACGGCCACCGTACCTCAGGCTCGTACGACTGGACCCTCCATGCCTATCTTTTTCGTGTCTCCCGTCCTCACCGTACCGACCTGGTTCGGTGGATCCGTGGATCCATCGGGCTAAGCCTTGCTCCCCGTGAAGATGGAGCTCGTTGGTTGAATGAACCACTCTTCCAATGAAGCGAGGACCAAAATGCCTGCTTGAGGAGACGACTCTGTGGGTTGAAAGGACTGCACTGTTTGACTGCTCTTTGGTGGCGAAGGAAGGCGCACAGGAATCCGTTCAGGTGAGGTGTTGAAGCACGTGTTCCCGGAGAAAAACAAAACAACACAATAGGCGTCGGTTTTGCCAGGTCCTGAGTTGAGCGGCCTTTGCGGTCAGTCTTTGGCCCAAATGGCACAAGCACCATCCCACCACCACGGTGACACTTACAAACAATGTTTAATGCTTTGTTAAGTATGGACCATGGACAACTTGATGCAAACAGTTCTTACATGTGGAATTGCTAAATATAAGCATAGATAAGCATAGAATATTTGATTTAGCATGATTTAGCTATGCAGTTTTCATGCTAGACAGGCCAGGCGCATCCTTTTTTCATCCTTGGGCGCTTCCGGCACCCCTGTCGGGCATTGTGGCCATGGCCTTCGGAGGAGTCTGGAACACCCAGCAGGCCTTTCTGGCTCAGCTGAGGGATGGGAGCCTGGAGGCCTGGGGACACCCAGATTATGGTGCCCCGATCCCGGCCGACATCATAGCCTCCGGGCAGAAACACGGCCTGAAACGGGCTTGGTCTACGTGGTGGGGTGCTTTTTTAGTGGAGCTGCAGAACGGGGAGTTTCACGCCTGGGGAAAAAAGGAAAAAGGTGCCGACATCGGCACCGTGAAGGCAAGACTGGAACTCGAGGGCGTCGTGCAGATTTGGAGCACCGCAGGCGCTTTCCTGGCAGAGTTGACGAGCGGCAAAGTGCTCACATGGGGCGATGCAGATTGTGGCGGCGAGGTCACCACCTCGGTGCAGGAAGCCCTAGAAGCAGAAGGGATCCAGCGCACCTGGTCCGCAGGCGGTGCCTTCATCGTGGAGCTGAAGAGCGGCCGAGTGGTCGCCTGGGGCCATTCCGGCTACGGATCCCAAATCCCCTCCGACGCCCAAGCAGCGTTGCAGACCAGAGGGCTCCACGACATTTGGACGACGCGCGCTGGGGCCGTCTTGGCGCAACTGAACTCTGGAGAAGTGATCTCGTGGGGGTGGGGAGACACCGGCGGCCTCGGCGGCGTAAAAGATCGCCTGGAAGCCGCGGGAGTTCGACGCATGTGGAGCACTGCTGGAGCCTTTTTGGCGCAGCTGAAGACCGGCGAAATCCTGTGCTGGACCAACAAAGGCTATGGCGGTGCGCTCCCCGCGGCGACGAAAGAAGCCCTGGACGCCCACGGAATCGCCCGCGCATGGAGCACCACCAGCGCATTCCTGGCGGAGCTGACGAACGGCTCCGTGGTGGCCTGGGGAGTCGGCTCCGGTGGATCCGGCGCTGCCAAGATCCCAGACGACTTGCACAGCTCCTTGGAACGTGAGGGGGTCCACGAGGCCTTCGGCACGGCCGGAGCCTTCCTGGTCGTTTTGAAGAGCGGCCGCTGCGTCGCCTGGGGCGATGCCGATCGGGGTGCAGACCTGAGTTCCGTCAAGGACAAGTTGGAGACGGTGGGCCTGGCGCTTTCAGCACCTGCAGCTCCAGCTGCGGAGGCCCCGCGCGCAGGTAAGGACAAGGATCCTTCCAAAGATTCGAAGTGAATCTTCCATCCCAAAATGCACTCCACAAGTTGGCCACCGGCCGGAGTGTTTTCACGCATGGGCACGTTTCGTCCACGAACGGAAGACGAAACATCTGAAGAACAGAATAAAACAGATTGGTTCGATGGGTTCGATGTCTTTGTTGACGGTTAGCCTCTGAGCAGAGTCCACTCCTCCCAGTTGGGGTTTCGCCGCACCCGGGGCGTCCAACTCCGGTCGACGGAAGAAGTCGAAACACCAGGACCGTCACGCTGTGACCTTTGGAGGTCCCAGGATGAGGTCATGCCTAGGACTATACAAGGTAACTTAGAGACTATAGCTAAAGTCATCTCAGTCACCACTTGAGACCTTTGATGGTATAAACTTTAAACGAAAGTCTCAAGAGGACACCTCTGGCACATTTGTGCTCTGCTTAATTAAGAGTCACTGCTTAAGAGTCACATTAAATCACATATTATATATAGTTTTATACAGCACCAATTGTAAAAAAAGCAAAACAAAAACACAGAGGGTTTGCAGAGACCTCTGATTTCGAGAGATGAGGCGATTTCCACCTTCTCGGGTGCGCTGTCCTTCGGAGTCCGTCTCCTCCCCAGCGACCGAGGCAGCAAAGGCAGCCGCAGTGCCGGGAGACTGAAGACTTGGCTTTACCAAGCAGGGTCGAAAAAGGCTTCATGGATAAAACAAACCACTGGTTCACTGTCGGTGTTCGAAAGTGAGATAAAAGAACATGGATCACTGGGGCAGGACTGGAAAACCAGACTCCTAATGTTCCAACCAACTTCAACTCAGCTCAGCTCTGGTGCGAAAGCTTCGCAGCTCAGCTCCGCTTCTCAGCTCACCGAGGCTCGCGGTCCCAACATCGCGGAGCGCCATGCGGCACCGCCGGTCTGGCGCGCCGGGAGAAGGAGTTCGGTGGGGTCGGATGCGGCCTCTCCAATGCGGCTTTCACCGGGCCTTGTCGGAGGGAGGAAGGATTGGCATGGAGAGGCTATAGATGGCTTAAGAGGCTCCATGGCAGAAATTGAGAATTTGGATTCGGGTTGAAGAAGCAAGTTTGAAAGAGATTCAGATGGTGCTGACTTTGGAACGAGTTTTGAACAAATTCAGAGTTGGTTGATGTGAACATGTGTCGAAGTTTTGGATGGCGGTCGGTCTGTAATTTAGCAAACTGCCAAACACATCTATCGAATAACCTTGTCCTTTTGAAAGCCCGTTCTTTTTTATGAGAGAGACAAGGATTTTGCCTGGTGTTGTGTTTTGAATGCACCGAGTTCACGCTTTTACTGACACTACTACGGTACCGTCCACAACGAAAGCAACATATTTACTCACGCGGACTTCTCGCTGATTATGCTGTCTCCGCCCCTTGAAATGAAGATAAATGAAGGGGTGTTTTCCGGATGAGACACAGAACTCACACAACATAACATCTTCAAGTCTTGAAGCGGTAGTTCTGACAGGGACAATGTTTTAAAACTGTTTGATGCAATGTGGTAAGTCTTGTATTATTCAAAAACTGGTTTCTTGATGGGAGCAGATGTGCTTGGTGGCTGGTTCATCGGTGAAGACTCAGTGAAGACTTGCTCTCCGCCATAACATACCTTGTATGCAGCATATATATATACATATACAGCAGCATGGTGTTCCTTGTGAAATGAGTTTTAAAAAATGCAACTCATGAAGTGGCTTGTGGCTGGTGTGAACCATCCAAGGTCGTTTTTTTTGCTGTATGCTGCTTGGGCTGGCTTCGCAGGTGATGTTCTACTGGTACTGTAATTCTTTATCCCAGGGTAAGACATATTCAGAGCAGAGTATGTCCATGAGATCATGCCAGTCACGGCCTACTTGTTGCTTGCAAATCCACCAAGACTAAGCGTACACACATCAATGCAATACCACCCACCACGCCAGACTGAGTGCTGACACACTGTGCCATGTCCGCTTGGAGGTACAACTGCAATCGTGCTGTCTATGGCCGGCCACCAGAAGAACCAAAGGCTCCGCCAACCACCTGAGTTGCAGAGGGGCCAATCACCTGCAAGGACCTGAGGGGCCAATCAACATGCTTGCAGCAAGTGTTGCCCAAAAAGAACCAGCCCGCAAGCTGATGTTCATCAATTGCACCTAACAGTTCCTTTCCTTTTCGAGACACAACATGAACATGAACATTCTTTGTCAGCAAGAACAGGCGATCTCCCGATCTCGTCTCCTCTCACGTGGATGAGACAGCAGGTCTCATACGTGAAAGGGTTGTTAACGCTGTTGTTCAGCAGCCCTTGTCCTGAATGATCACGCGGACGCGGTGCAGCGATCGGGAGATACTGTAGGGGTTTTATACTTGCCACTGTGATGTGCAACTAAAACTGTGACTAATGAGGGAGTTGGAAAGGGGTTCATAACTCTTAGGTTGGAACGCCATTAAAACTATATCTTTGTTATTCAGACTGGCATGCTTTTTTTCAAGGACTCCAAGGGACTTGTTTCCACCAAAGACTCTTCGGCTTTTTCACTTGAACTGATTTGATGCTAAGTCGGATTTCCTTACCACGCCAGGAGTTTAATGGATAGGATTGATGTAAGGAATCGAGACTATTTCAGGCCAAGGGGACTGCGAGACTGCTCGGCAAAAATCGCCGGCGGATAGGATTTGTGTCTTAGGCACAAATGACAGAATCGAAAGCGGCCACTTTGATTGAGTTTGTCTATGCGTGCATCCAGGCATTCTCAAAGTTTGCAATTTGCTGTGGCCACCTCAGTAACTCTACGGATAGTATTGTTTCCACTCCGGCCCAGAGAGATCAAGCTTGGGGGATGATCACAGTGCTTGGCTCAAGCAGCTCCAGCCTGCTCCAGCCGAGCTTCCGTTCCGGAGCTGAAGATGTGCTTCCGAGCTTCAAGTCCCCAGAGTTTGGCTTCGATAAACAGATCTCTTAGCTCCAATTCTCTGAAGGTTTTTTCGGGAGGCCTCCTTTCGAAACCACACATGCCTGGAATTGAGCCAACCAAGACGTCTCGCAGAATCGGTGAAGCCATGGCCGTTCATGGAGTGCCTCAAAGGTTGTTCCTGCTTGACCGCGCTCTTCTTGTCTCGTCCCGAATGTTTGGACGAGACACAACGGCTTCAGCTTTGGTCCGGTGTTCATCTGAATGAACTGCCTGAAGAGTCGATGAGGCCCTGCACAGTGAGCAGCTGTCCGTCACAGCAACATCATGGCATCATATATATATATAGAGAGAGAGAGACAGCAATATGTTACAACAAATTCGTTTGGTTTAGCGCACGAAGTCCACGAAGTGCGGTTGATGGCAAGTAACTTCCAAGGCCAATGTCCCCCCAAGTGTTTTCATGGATCTTCGTGATCTTCATTCCAGCCTATTCCTGGTGCTTTCATCCATCTCCAGATCCCATGTTTATAGACATTTCAAAGACACAAAGTCTTTGATCCAACCAAATCTAGAAAAGGTCTTTCACATTATATATATATATGTTTTCATATTGTTTGCCCAAGACATGCCTGTCTCCCACCACTCTCCACACCTTCTCCCGCCCTGGAGGTCGCTGGTCCGTGCCGGTGTACCCAGCTCCCTTCGTTGGTCGCTTTGGACCTCCCATCTCCGCGCCGCTCCGCGCGGCTCCGCACAGTGGCCAGCGGAGGGCACGACGCCGTGCGCGCCGCCGCTCGAGGTGGCGGCGGATGCGGCGCGGACGAGCCTCGGGGGGAAGCGTTTGGTGGAGGAGGAGGTGAAGAGCTTGGAAAAGGCCGGAATGGGGGAGATAAGAGATGCTTTAGAGAGACAAGAGATGCTTTAGCAGTGTCGTCGTCGGCGTCGTCGTAGTCGTCGTCGTAAAGCAGGTCCTCTCAAGGCATTTCGACCAACGTCACAATTAGATTAGATGACTTCAATGTTGGGGGTGTTCATAGCTTCTGCTTGGTGGGATTGGCAAGACCTCCCAGGTCAGGCCTGTGCTGACGCCTCCAGGTCTGTGCTGCTTACGCTAGCAGAGACCCCGTGATCGGCTACTGCCAGGGAATGAACTTCGTGGTGGCTGTGTTGCTCTTGGCTTCAGGCAGGCTGTGCCAATTGGTGGATGGCTTGGGCTTTCACTGATGGTGGATCTCAGTTGTGTTTTTCCACCATGTCAGGTGTAAGAAAAAATCAACTGACATAATCAGTCGGGGATCATGACACCCACTAGTGGCACCGGTTTCATAGCGTGCCATTTGCGGGCTGCGGCAAGCTTTCCGAAATATTTGTGGGTCAAACGAGGCACATCAAACCAGGGAATGCTTGCTCCTCTTCTACATGTCATCATAACCCTGCAGACATCCTAGAGATCCATCGCATGCACCGTGTGAGCCATCCACGGCGCAGAGCAGTCTCTTCCCAACACAACCGGCGCGGGTACAGAAAAAGGCGCTCGGTTCGGGTGGGAAACTTTGTCGCAGGTGGCGACGAGATGGAGACCTTCCAATGCTTCGTTGGTTTGGTGCGTCACTTGGATCTTGTGACCTTTTACGCTGATGGCTTCCCAAGACTTCGAGCCTCAGTGTGAACTGGTTGGAGATGTTGGAGTAACTCAAAGGTGGAGCGAACAGTCTCAATATCTTTGGGACACCTGACACTGAACCATGACCCAAATTATTGGATGTTATTGGTACAGTTGGTGCGTGATACTTAGATGATCTTAGATGTACTTTGTAAAACCTCCCGAGAAAAGATTATTCTAAGATGTCATAATAAGAACGTACCATTCGATCAGATGGATTTTCGATTGGACCCCAACGAGGCTGTTTTTGCTGTTGTTGTTGTTGTTAATCTATATTTGGTTTTAAATGACATTGCGTTTGGGATACTTTTGGGGTTGTTGTTTTGGACAGCAGCATGATTGCATTTCGAAGGGAATCGCACTTAATTGTTTTTTACAGTAATATTGCGATCATTTGACGTGAGTAGAGGGCAGGATGTACGCAGCACATATTTTACGCGTGAGTGCTTTGATCTAAGGAGAGTATGTGGATGAAAGTTGCAAGCTGTTGCCCCTGTTCTTGCCGAAACTTTCTCATCATTTTGAGTTAAACGGCATCCTGCCGGAGCAGTTTTTGCACTCCTGGCACCTCACTCTTTTTGCCTCCCGGCCGATTGGAACATCATGGAACCAATTTTTTGCCATCAAAAGCCATGACTCGTTTCTTCCGCCCATGTGTCCGCCCGTTTCCAAAGTTCCACCGTTTATTGTATGTTACCTTCTTATTTATGTTTATTTCTAATTTGTTTCAATTCGTTCCACCTTTTTGGGGGGGTTCTTTTCGCGCTCCATCCAAATCAAAGCCAGTTCCGACCGAACTAGACCCTGGCCAGCTTATTGCTGGCCAAGACTAGCACAGTTGTGGTGTTGAGGCAAGTTGCCTGCCGCGTGCGGCCATTTTGGAAGTTTGGGATGACATCATTTGCTGCAGTGGTACTGAGCTTTTAGTGCCTTTGGCCATCGCACTCTTGGAGTCTTTGCAGGAGATGAAGAAATGACGAAAGAGTCCCCAAGCTGTCCTGCCATATAAGTCTATCTAGAATGGATTCACTGGTCCAAGAAGATCAGTCCACGTCACACAAGGGTTGATGGTGCTTGTTTGTCATATTTTGGGAACGAAACTCAGGGAGTGAGAGAGTTCGTCTCCTCTCAGGAGCTTTTGCTCCGGAGCTCTGGTTCAGAGATCTCGTCGCCTGGAGCCAACTCGGGGGACCGACGGGGACCGAGTGACGAACGGGGGTCGATTGAACGGGGAGTACCATTACTGGGGTCCCTACGTTCGTCTCCATTTGACACCTCTTGGAATATCCAGGTTATAATTCACATTTTCACGTGCTGTTGGGCGAGGTCCCAAAAGAAAAAAAGCATGACAAGTACCATCCTGCAAAATAATGCCGAAGAGGTGTGTTTTGTTCACCCAATGCACAGCTATGATCAGTTGAGTTGACTCTTCTGATATGGCTTGAACATGCTTGAACAAAGGCTGTGCTCGTGACATTACATAGTTACACTGTGTGTGTTTGTTGGCCAATTGAAACTAATCTGATGGACTCGTTTCAGGTTTGCAGAATATGTTTAAGCGTTGGGGGGAGCTGGCATTCCTAGGAAAAGTCTTTTGTACGGCAAAATATTAAGAGCAACACCACCACCAACCCAATATGGATAGCAACAAGCAACATAGAAGTTAGAAGTTGACCAGGACCACCCGAAGTGGAGGATTTCATGGTCTTCCAGGGGCCGAAGCGTTCCAGTTTGATTGTTGTGTAATTATTGGTTTGTTAAGGCATAAGTTTGTCATAGGGAGTGATCACATCACATCAGCCAGAACCGCATCGCGGAACGACCCTGTGATTCCCAGGCCACTTCTATTAAGGAAGCAGCCCCCCCAAAACCCTCGGTGTCTTTGGGACCGAATCTCTTGGATTTTTTTGGGTGAGGTGTCCCACTAAACCGACTCCTTGGAGTCGGTGACACCTCATACCACACCGCCCTACAACACTTCCCCACCCCACGCCTCAGGAGGAGCTTGCGCTCGGTGCCCCGCGGGGAGCAAGACGCCCAAACCTTGGGCTTTGAGCTTCGGAGGATCCGCTCGACGCGTGGGGCGGTGTGCGTCGTCAAACGCGAGGAGAAGAGCTACGGTGAGCCCCGGAAGATCAATTGGAAAAAGGTATTTATATAGAGGGTCAGATTTGGTCAGATTTGGACCAGTAACAGTAGATGTGAAATGATGTAAAAAGGGTCCTCCCTCGAAAAAATATCAAGAGCAACATACTAAAGTATCCAGAGTCTTTTTCACTGGCTGTTTTGGCAAGAGGTTTCCTGGCCCCGGCTAAGGTGAATGTTTGGGTGTAGAGAACTACCATTATCCTATGACCAAAACAGCCCAACGAAGATACAAAGACTCAAGTTTACTCAAGTAATGCACATGGGCTTGACGTTCCTGGTGATGACTGGGCTTTGGCTGCTCCAAGCTTGTTGCACATGTTGGTAGGTAACATGGTACTCCACCTTTTCAAAGTGGATAATTCCATGATTTCTGTATTTCGACAAGGAAGCAGCAAGACTCGCA